TATACCTTGGTCACTATATCAAGATCGCAGGGCATAAATCAGTTATACCCTGGGCACCAGTGTTCATTTTTACGTGCGCAAAAGTGTGCGCACGTGTGCAGGTCCAATTAAAATTTTAAATAAAACAATTTGATTGGATCCGCACACGTGCGCACACTTTTGCGTACGTGAAAAATGAACACTGCTGGGCACTATGTGTATAAGCAGAAATTTCATCTCTGCTTATACCCAACTGCCCAGGATGTAATTATTACGTATTATTTTATAATATAAATCGAATTAAACCAAAATACTTTAAATAGCTAAAAAAAATAAATAAATAAAATAAATAATGATAAAAAAAATAAAGTTTTACTTATAATAAATGAATTTTTGATTGATTAATAATTACGACTTAATTTAAAATAAATGTCCCGCATGTTATAATTTTTATTGGATTTACTATTACTCACAATTACAAGACAAATATAATTACATCTCATAAGTTAAAAAAAAAAATTAAACAAATCTTACAATATCTATTTAAAAGATCCTCTAATATTGACAAACTAGGGCTTGAAAAAATTTACTATTTCTCATATTGTTGCTTCATTTATGCTATAAAATAGCAAAAACATTTGTTAGTTTTATAGTGCACAGCATTAATGTTTGAATGTAAACTATTCAAAAATTAAAAAAAATTTTCTATATAGAACCCTCCTTATTTATATGAAATAAAGTATGCATATATATATTGTGATAGTTTTTTAAATGAAAAGTTCTTAAAAAGTAAAAATGATTCTATATACAATAAATTCGCCAAATCCTATTTAGCGCCAAAGAATTTGTCCCATATTGATCCATTATAATCATCAATATTCTGATCTCTCATTGTATTTGGCTGTGATGTTGCTAAATGTTGCCGCAGGCGACTTTGTAAATTGTTATTGTCAGTCGACATTCTTAATTGTCTAGGTGTCGTAGTTGTTATTGGTGGTGGCACTGTTGTATGTTGTGGTTGGGATGTGTGCGCAGCCTCAGATCCAACATATTGAATAGTTGTCGAAGACGGAGATCTTATGGGTATTGTCGATATATCCAATGAATTACGAATGTGTCGATTATTGGATGGAATGTCTCGTTGATGTCCGTTAATACTACGACTAGCTAGTGCATTTCCATATTTCGTTTTTCCATTTTTGGCGTTTACGGCTCTGTCGATCTTCTGATTCTTCTTTCCAGAAGTGCTGTTACCGACTCCTCCAAATAAAGTAATCACCCCACGCCTTACAATTGACCCAACCGATGAATCATTGCTCTCTCTTCTTTTATAAACTCTTTGATTATCTGGCGACCTCAAATATGACTCCAAATTACGATCTATATAATAATTGTCCTCAGCAAAGGTATCGATACTACCAACAGAAACATCACGATCATGTAGGAAGTCTACTGATAGTCGCCGGTTATGATGGCGTACAGGTGTTACGGATTGAGTTTCTTTTACTCCTCCAAAGACTCGACTAAGATATGCTCCAAAACCACCATCACTACTTTGACTAAGCGCTCTTTCTTTTCTTTTGATTTGTTCGTTATCTTTTCCGCCTAAAACACTCTTACCAAATTCCTCTTCAGCTTTTCGGCGATTCTCCTCTACTTTTTGCACATAAGATACTTGAACATCATTAATTGTCATACGTAATTTGCCTATTTCATTCAAAAGATCTTGTAAAAGATGCACCAATGGTAAGAAATATTCAGGTGAAAACATAAAGAGATCCTTTTGGTTTTTATCATTCTCGGAACCATTCAAATCATTAAAAGCCATTTTCGGATTTGTTTTCATTTCATCATTGTTGCATAGTTCTTCAACCCATCTGAAACGTTCTCTGAAATTCTCAACATCACTCAGAATATTTTCAATCAAATTATTACTTAAATTAGTCAATTCTAAAATATCAAATGATCTCTTTAATCTACGATTAAGGGCCATTAAATCTGTGCCTTTCATGCGATCCATAATATGGCTAGCAAGGTTAAATAACAATTGATAAGGATTTTGATTTTGAAGAGATTCAGAAAGCTGAGATTCACGCTTAGATCCGTTAACATCATTAGTGATGAGCAATGGGGTTGAAGTAGAAGCCTGGCAAGAATGAGCAGATTTAGTACCAGAGACTGTTAATCCATTTTGAACTTCATGAGCAAAAGCAGCAGCTTCGGCAGCAGAAAGATTAGTCTCATCTGCCAAAACTCCTTCAACAAATATTTTGATTGGAGAATTGGGCATATCATTCCAAAATTTGCCTTTTATAGTGGTAGAATCGCTACCATTATTAACAGTCGATTGATTTTCAATTTTTACGTTATTACTGAATCCATTATTTTCTATACTAGTACCCTTTTGTTGTTGTTCTTTAGCAACATTAGCACGCCAAGTTTCCATCATAATTTTACGTTCTTTGGGTCCAAGAGTAGCAAACTTTGGATTTTTGAAAGCTGGTAAACTAGGTTTCGTCTGCAATTCTTTAGATTTTTGATCCATGGCAGGTGAACTAGAAGATTGAGGATCTTCGACCGCTACGGAAACACCTGAAGCATTACGACGATGAACAGCTAATGGAGATGACTGCGTTGGCTTGTGTTGTTGAGCTGAAGTTGTAGCTGTTGATACTTTGGCCAAATTGGGTCGTTTTGCAGAATTAACTAATGGAGGTCTGCGATCTGAGTCTTTCTCAAAAGTTATCTTCGTTGGAGATTTTTCTCTCTCTTGTTCTTTTGCTTGATTGATCGTATTGGATTCTTCTGCAACCGACCTGAGGCCAACAGATAACAACGAAACATTTGGTCTTTTCTCTGAAACATTACTGGCCATATCATCTCTCTAAATAATTATTAATTTTTTAAGATGCAAAAAAAAAAAAAAAAAATTTAATAATAATAAATCATAATAATAATAATAATAATAATAATAATAATAATTAAGATTTGATAAATGACTATTATCGATTATTTTGTAAGAGTACAGACCTCTTCATTGGGACCAGTATTATAACCTCGATCTGACGCACTGTCTTCACCCTCTGATCGGACGTATTTCTTTCCTGTAACCTCGGATTGAGCCATATTTTCATCATTATATCGGTCTTCAGTCTTTTCATCGACGAATTCGGGAATTCCTCCTCTTCTATTTTTTTTCGAGTTACGTATGATTTTAGGTCCTTTTGATCTTGGTTTTTTACTGTATTTTTTCTCCAGCTCACCGAATAAATTCCCTTGTACAATATCAGTATTCTCGGGATGATAGTAGTAGTGATAATGGTGATGAAGGTGGGCGGGGTTTGAACTGGACAGCATTGACGAAGAGACAACTGATCCTACAGGAGAATGGACAGAAGGATCAACGCCCAAGCTATTGAATGTGTTATATGAACCAGGACCAAACGAAGATGACAAAACAGGTGACATATGAGGATT